TGCCAGGCAGCCAGGGCACATATCCAGACAGGCAGGAGAGAGCAGAACCCACCACATGCGGCTGCATCTAAAGGCGGGGCTCCCTCCAAGAATTCTTGATTGCCAGATCTGAAGCTTCTGCAGAAACCCACCAACCAGCTGGCATTCCCCAGGGCATAGTGGGGCACTTGCCTGGCAATGGGAAGGGTGAGTGATGTTTTCACTTTCTCTGGGGGCTTGTGAAGGAGGGGACTATGAAGGGTAACCCACCACTGCTATCAGAAACTCTGCTTGAGCTTCAAATGAAGCTCTTGAAGCTTGTTATTCTCATTTTATAGCTTAATTAAGTTGGCTGAGGTTATGTAATTCCAAAGTAGAGGAGGGAATTTGAACTCAGAGCTATCGCATGCCAAGATGGGTGGATCTTCCGTGACTGTGACTAGTTAGGAGAAAAGATGAAATGATTAGGGTGAGTTACCTTAATACGAGAGGTACCTCTAATCTTTTCCTTGTACCACACTATACCAGCTTCCAGAAAATTAATTTGGTTTCTACACTCACACACACACACACATATGTTTATGCACACACACACACACACACACACATATATATATATATATATATATACCCACACACATATATATTTACACCGCCCCTCCCCTAGAAAGCACATCCCTTTCTAAACCCTCAGGGTATTACACTGTTCATCCTGAGATCTCTATTTTGGGTCATGAGGACAGAGGATGGACTTGATCTCTGGGGCCATGCACATGGGTGAGAATGTCAGTGTGAATGTGAGCGTGTGTGCGAGTGTCTGTGAGTGTGTGTTCATGAAGTCATCCTTGAGTATGACTGACAATATGTGATTGCATGTCAGAGTGGGTGAGCCTTCCTGTGAGAGCTCATGCATGTCTGTGTGGAAATAGGAACATGTGTGTGCAGGTGTGAGTGAGTGCGAGCATAGGGCTGATGCCTTTGCATAGCCAGCACATGATGGCCTGCATAAGTCTTGCTGCACTTTGGTTAAAGTATGAAAAATGCTCTTGCACTCGGTGGCAAAGGGCCACCGCAATGACTCCCGTGCCCTCTGTGCTGCAGCTGCCACCTGGGCTGTGGGCTCAGTCTCCACACCACCGGGAAACAAGAAGGCTAACAACACATGCCACAGCAAGGGGCCTCTAGGACTCTGGTCAAGCTTCTGCTCTCAATGCACAGTGTCAGTCTATGAAGTCAAAGACATTACTTAAACATGAACCCAGAGTGTGGACTGTTTTTTTTTTTTTAAGAGGTTTTGGCTATAGGGCGCATGCGCTCGCCAGACAGACAGAGACAGACAGAGAGATAAAAAGCGAGAAATCACCCCCCAGGGGGGATGGTCACGCTGCAATCCCTTCTCCTCCATTCTCCTCTCGGGATCTTGGGCATGCACACACATGCGCCTGGCGTGAGTTTTAAGCTGCCGAGTCTGGGACTCGAACCGCGGTCAACTATGTGGGAGTCCAGTGACATAGGCATTATGGTAACTGCTGGTCCCCGTTGTGTGGACTTTTTGTGTGAATATTTGTGAGCATGTGCCCAGGTGTAAACAAGAGTGAGTGTGTGTGAACATAATTGGTTTGGCTTTCCCAACGGACTGGATGATAGTGAATTCTGGAAGGACAAGGTCCAAGCTGTATGTTTCTTACAGCCACTGGCACAACAGCACGTGTAACTTCTTAGTTGTAGACCAGAGAGCCAGAGAGTCCTGAGTCTGAGTCTTAACTCTACCACCTACACACTGTTCTTGCCACGACCAAGTAAGGAACGCCTCTGAACCTCACCCCCTCTCAGTAATGGGAATAATGATACCTACTTTAATGGGGTGGTGTCACGGCTGATGTACATGAATGCTCTGCAGCTGCCCTGTCAGTCAAGTCCCTTTCCCTGACTATATTTCTTTGGTCAGCTTCAGTTCTGCAAAAAGACATGCCTGACTTTACAAACTGATGGTAAAAATTGCTGGGGGTCACCGCAGGAGGAGTCTCTCAATTTTCCCTCTCTCTCTCTCTCTCTCTCGCTCGTGAGCACCTGTACTCTATTGTAAAACAAACAACCAACTACAAAAAAATGGGGAGTCCAGGATTGCCCCAAGGATAGGATCCATTGTGTCCAGGTATTAAAAATGAGAAGATTCTTGAAGAGAAGGGGTACTTATACCCTACACTGAAGCTTGTTTCCTCTTTGAACACCCACTCAGATCTTTTCCTTTACTTAATTTGCCCTTGCCCTGCCCCCAAATATACCCTGCTTCCTCACACCTTTGTACCACTAAACTTCTGTGACCCAGGTTCTCCAAGTGGTGAAGATAGGGGAGGGAGCTGCTTGGAGGCTTGCTGCCTCATTAGAACTTGGAAAGTGGTAATAAAAGGCAAAACCTCACATTCATCACTTACTACAGGGTGCGCTATGTTTACTAGTTTATCACGATTGTCTCCTTTAACACCACCTACCCCAAGAGGCAGTTGTTTTCCTCATTGTACCAGTGAGAATACTGAGACTCAGAAAAGTTATGTAATTTGCTCCAGATCGCACAGCTGAAGAAGGGTGGTGCTGGAATCTAAATCCAGTATGATGGGGATAAAAGGACCAAGCAGCAAGGTTAACTGTTCGCAATCTTCTCTTCTAAGGAAGTTTCTATATTACTGCTAGGTCATTCTAGCACCTGTATGCACGCAAGGGCTACACGTGAACATGTGCAAGTAGTGATGATAATTAGTAGAGGAGAAAATTTTAAAAGCCCCAAGCAGCAAAATTAAACCTTAGGTTAAGTTGCTCAGTCAAGAAAGGTAAAGGAAGAGGGACCCAGAGTGCCCATGAGAGGAATTCGGGGAGGATAACATATGGGACTAGAAAGAGGGGACATGAAAAGACTTTATTGAATGAGCTCTCTGAGTGTGGGGAGGAGTTCCAATGGTTCACTTTGTAGGCTATTTTGTAAGAGAGGGGTCTGGTAGAGAGGGACAGGCGTGAGTAGTTGAGGCAATAGAAACAAGAAGCTTGGCTTACCTGTGGGTCTGTATTTTGCACTTCACTTCAATTTCCCAAGACTTTAGGGAATTAAAAGTAAGAGGACTGTAAGAGATAAATAACTCAAGAAAATCCCCAACTGAAAAAAAGAATAACTGTGATTTTTAAAAAATGTAAATTTAGCTTTTTTTTTTTTTTTTCTTGCTGTAGGGTACATGTGCTTGCCAGAGAGAGATAGAGAAAGAAAGAAAGCAGCCCCCGGGGGAATGATCATATCACAATGCTTTCTCCTCTGAGAAGCAATATGAACCCAGGTCTGTCAGATGTCAAGATGGGTGGGACTTCTGTGGCTATGACTACTTAGAAGAGATTAAATGAAGATTAGGGTGAATTACCTTAATATGAGGGGTAATCTTTTCCTTATACCACACTATACTATCTTCCAGAGATCTCTTTATTTGGAATACACACACGCACACGCACACGCACACACACACACACACACACATATACACACACAACTAATTTAATATATATACATATTTTTTTTCTTTCCTCTCTCAGAAAGCGTCTCTCCTTCCAAGCCCTCAACATCACATCCTTTATCCTAAGATCTCTGTTCTGTAGAAATTCATTCAAATCAGATTGCCAGATATCTCTGCTGGAATGTGGCACAGGCCTGACGAAGGGTATGAAGACAAGCCACTAGGCCATCTGGGGCCAGGCACACGTGAGAGAATGGCAATGTGAGTATGAGTGTGTGTGTTTGTGAATGTGCGTTAGCAAAGACGCCTTTGAGTGTGACTGACAATGTGTGACTGCATGTCAGTGTGGTGAGCCCTCCTGCACACACACCGGCATGCTTTCGAAGATCTCAGGTCTAGCACTCAAACCGCACAGTTGGCCATGTGGGAAGCAGCCATCTTAACCACCAAGCCACAGGATTGCCCATGAACTGTGATTCTGATCAAGTACTGACTGGCAGATATGGACATACTGGGTATATGATGTTTGTGTAGACTGTCTCCTAATTACACATTTAGTTATCTTAAGAAAATTTGGTCTTTTTTACTTAAGGGATATTTTTAAAGGCCTTATTCTCAATTCCTCTTGGCCCATCAACCATTAATGTGTGCTTTCTGAATTAGAATTATCTGGCTCAGTTCTCCTTACCAGCACGATCCCTTATTCCTTCTGTGCCTGGAAGATACCTTTTCCCTGCACTCTTTCTCCAGTGGTCGCCGTTTCCCCCTGAGTCTGTGTGGCAATCTCACCGTCTGAGGATGCAGCATGTGTCTGTGCTACAGACGTCTCTGCCTTTCCCTCCTTACCCTCGTAAGGAGCCTTGTGAATGTCACGGGCATCTCAGAGGCATTTCCCTCTGCCCCATCCACCTGCACCCCACACCCTGCTCTTCTGGGACACTGGGTTGTGACCAGGATAAAACAATCTCCAAGAATCTGACATTTTCAAATAACAGAATTGTCAGACTGAGGTATTCATGCCAGAGGAATTCTATTTTAATTGTCTGGAAACAGAAGCTGAGGGGAAGGGTGTCAGGGAAGGGTGTCCGGGCATGCTGCTCAGCTTTCCAGCAGGGCGATGTAGTTGCATGTCAACAGGATGATTAAACAGTGTAGACCAGATCTTTGTCTGAGATGGAAACTGCAGGTGCTAATTAGAAGAGGTAGAAATCGAGGAAGCCGCCAGCCTGGTGCTGCCTTTCTTCCAAGTGCGAAGTATGGGTTGCATCCAGAAGCATGGGTGAGCATGATCAAAGCTTGACTGATGAAGGAGGGGACCCAAAAGGGATGTCATGCTCTAGGGGTTCACCTCTGGTCGTCCATTCCAGACTTATTTCTGCTTGGACTTCTGGCACTTGGGGGCACAAGGCTCCTGGCATTTGGGTGGAGGCTGGCAAGCCTGCTTGGTCTGCTGGGGTGGGGGGCAGCACTGCTGGGGTGGAGGGCAGCACTGCTTTGGTGGGGGACAGGGCTGTTTTGGTGGGGGACAGCACTGCTGTGGTGGGGGGCAGCACTGCTTTGGTGGGGGACAGCACTGCTGGGTTTGGGGGGAGCACACTGCTTCTGCTTCTGCTGAGACATTCTGGATTGGACTTGCAGCTGGAAGCAGAAAGACACAGATGTGAGGAGCGTGTAAGCCTATAGAGACCCTGGGGCCTAGGTGGTCCTCTGGCCACAGTCTCGTCCTGCTCTGCTCTAACCTTGTCCTCATCACTTCACAAATGTAAGAGCGGTGTAGGGTTGTGCAAATATTAGCTGTCTGTGAGCCATTTCAGCTCTTTCAAAACAAAGAAAGAAACATGGAAGGATGGAAGGAGAAGGAAGAAAGTAAAGAGGGGCAGAGAGAGAAAGAGGATATAAGAGAAGAAAAGAAAAGTGTAAAACTAGAAAAGGAAAGAGGAGAGAGGGGAAAAAAAACAAAAAA